AATATCGCCGATGAAATCGGCGGCGGAGGACATGCACCTCAACTCCTAATGGACTATTCTGATGAAATGTGAGAAAACATGTCTAATAGACATTTGATTTTGTTGGTGTTTCAAACTTTCTCTTTGTGCTGTTTATTATTTAGAACCCTAGATGTATATTTTATTAACTCTCAACTCACAGCAACATCAACAACAGCATTATTAAAAAAAATCTTAGTTTTTCATGCATATATAATAGTTTTTCTTATTGGATGCAATTAAACTTAATTGTTATGAGTTAAATAATTAATAAATATTTAATACTTATAAGTGTTTTAAACAAGGTAATAACATATTCATATTTTAATTTGTAGATTTTAGATTCATTAACATTTATATTATAAGATAACAACAACAATTGATACTTTTCCTACAAGGAAGGAAGTTATATAAGAGAAAATTATTTTAAAAATATGTAATTTTATAATTTATTTATTAAACAAAATATGATAATTCATAACAATTAAATAACACATAATTATATATTTGTTTAGATTTGATGTCAGTCAAATATCTACTCACTATATTATTTAATAATGGTCTTCTAAGATGGAAAAAAATTGATAAATCCCTACTTTAGTGTAGGTGACCACCATCATCATTTCTTGTAATATAATTAATTATTATTCTCAAGCGAGGTTTAAAATATTATGAGGTAAATATTGAAATCTCTTCAATAATATAAGCCTCACTTATTAAAGTTGCAACATGCGCTTTAGTTTTAAAATTTTTCTTAAGGTTGAATAAGTTATTGTAGATGAATAACTAAATGTTTTTTTAATAAAAAAATGAACAATTATTAAGAATGCATGCAATCCGTAACCTCTTAAATGGATATATCCATTTGTATCGTACATGACCTTAAACTTTTGCCTTATAAATTAAATAAATGAGAAGATTTTTTATTGAGTCAAAGAAGGAGGGGGGGAAAGATCATTTCAAGTTTGTAAATTATTTTAATGATGTTGTTTTCAAGCTGCTATATGTGATTGATATGCAATTTATTTAAATAAATATCTTTAAATAAGTGTTTAATCTTTGTGAGTACATCTTATATACTTTTTTACAATAAGTCATATAAGCAATTGGAATTAAAGTTTATACAAACATATAATAGTCATGACTTTTCATTCTATACAATTTATATTCAGTCATTCTATACAATTTATATTCCCCTGAATTCATCAATGTAACTATGTATGAAGTATATCCATTAGAAAATTGTAAACTTTTAAGCCATTTAGAGAGAAGAAGTTGTCCATCCTTTTCTAATATAAATGTGACTTTTAGCTTTGTAACACAAAACTCATCATTAACCAACTCTATATTCTTACTATCATAATACATAGTTAAATTTATTCTAGCTTTATATTATTCTTTGTTTTCCTTTTCGTGTTCATGATAATGTTAAAAATATTGTTAAATACATTTTTCTTGATATTCATGATATCTAAATTATAGTGGATAACATTAGGTTTTAATAAGATAGCGCCTAAGACATACTTTACTTTATCAAATTATGTATCACACCAAAATGAAGAAACTTTTGCATACCAAAATGAAAACCAAGTATAATACCATCATATCATGAGATTTTATTAGGCAGTTCTTTACCTATAAGTACTAGTGATATAATATTCATTTCAACTTTATCTTTTAAGAAATATTTTTTATTATTTCTGAATCGATGATAACTTGGCAAGAATCTCCAGTAACAATAAAAAAGAAGTTTTACCAATTTTGATTAATGTAAATACCTTATTATTACCTATATAATATCAAGAAGCTAATTTTCCATGTCCTTCTCATACACAAAAAAATCATTTATAGTCCAAATCAAAATTGTTTTCATGTAAAAATTATATTTTCTTAAGATATTATATGTTAAAGTCTTGACTGACCATACTAGATTTAACTCATCAATCAATGGTCGAAGATAAAATCTAAATTCCTACCTAAATTGTAAGGACTAAGTATGATCATAGATAATATCATGAATTCCAGTTTCATATATATCCCTGAGCCAAGTTGTAAATTCTTAAAATAATTGGCCAATAAAAATATGGTGTAGTAAAGGATCTAAATAGATTAAATCAATTTCTATACAAGCCAAAACATATATTCTGTAGTTCCATTAAAAATTAAGGGCATAAACTTTATTAAACTGCTTCCAAGCTTCACCATTAGAAAAGTGCACCATAACTTTATCATGTGAATAATACCATGTCATATGCTCAATAGTTTTTAGAAACATAAATAACCTTTGCACCCTAAAAGTGATTGAGAAGTATCTTATTTTTTGTATTCGATAAATGTCATTTCTCAACCATTATTATCGAGCATGTTGATAGGTTTTGCACTAGGTAAAATTTATATGTTCACTATACTACAACATATAAAAGTTTATGCATATATCAATTTTTTAGTATTTTAAGTCATAAGGTTTTATCATAGATTTTATAGCATATAAGTTATCTTCTAGCCTTTTTCCCTTTAGGTAACATGTTTTTACCCATTCAATGTTCCTATTATAATTGGCTCTACTTTACTTATAATTTGACTTAATGGTAAACAATTAATGATAAATTTATTATGAGTTGTACACATATTCCATAATGGTTCACCAAACAATTTTAAAATTTTAAACAACCTAGTTGTTTCTATATTTAATTCTTCATCTAAATTTTAAAAAATTTAGCCATCTAGGCTAGGCCAAAACAGGTCCAACCCAACCTAGTCGGGTTAGGTGGCTGGAGACCGAACATATCATTTTTTAGGGTGGGTTAGACCCAACCCAGCCATTTAGGCTAAGTTCAGCCTAGGCTCAAATAGTTGAGGGATTGACCTAACAACCATGCTAATTATTTGATCATTGCATGAAAAATCATGTAATGGCTAGATTAAGGAGGGGGGAAACAAGAAAAGGACATGGCACAACCTTGCATGGCAAGAGGCAAACAATTATTGGAGTCATTCTTGTTGTTACAAGGAAGACTGAAGCGTGGTTGATAGTAGTAACAACAACTAAGATGTTGCAAAGAAAGTGGCTAAAGTGGTTTCCAAGAGTGGGGAAAGAAAAACTAGGCAGAAAGATGGTTTTTTTGCTTAACTTTGGTTTCTGATCTCTTCTCCCTTAGAGCATAAAATCCACCTCTATTTATAGAAAGTAAAAAATAGACACTTTTTTTCTTTTTGAAGACAAATTTTAGCCCTTGATTTTGCTAAGAAAGAGCCCAATTGTTGGCTCAAAGTTGTCATCATGGCCTGAAAAAGTTGTTATAGAAGGGATGGCTGAGTTGGGTATTTTAGGATGGTGCTAAGGTTGCTATAATGTTGATCGATTAGAAAGGATCATACTAGGGTGTAGTTAGATGCCAAACCATCATTTGCATACAAGTTTTGTCAAATTTAATGGAGAGATTAAACATTAAATGCCTTGAAAATGAGAATACTAGAGCAGTTTTTTTTTGCCTAAAATGAGAGAGAAGATGAACAGTCACCAAATGATACATTATTTGGTTCTTTTTTTTTATTGTTCAAAATAGCATAATTTTGAACTTTTTAGGGTTTAATTTAGGGTTTTGGCCAAAGTTTAATTTGGTCCTCCATTTTTTAGTTTCTTTTAATTACAACTTTAATTTACTCTAAACTTCCAATTTTATGTAATTTTCCCCCTACCAAACTCCAATGTCAACCTTAAATTTCAATGCCTTTTTCACATTGGTTCTTGGTCTTAGATTTATGTAATGTAACCCTCAATTGACCATTAAACTTTTAATTATCTTTAATTTCACCTATAATTTCAATCAATTGATTCTTCATAGTTCGACGCCTTTTATAAAATGATCATTGGTTGTGATTTTTTTTTTTAATTTAGCTCTTAATTCACTCTAAAATTTTGATTTTCTTACAATTTTATTATTCATTTAAACTCATTAACTTTGTAAAAATTAAGTTTGATCTCCTAAAATTCTAATATTCTCAATCAATTAAGCTCAAATTAGGTTCTCAAACTTGATATTTCACCAATTAAGCCCCTAATAAAATTAATTTAACCTATTTAAAATATAAGTCATGGCACCTAATTAAATCCTTTCAGTTAAACCAAAATTAATTCTTAAACATAATTAAACTTTAATTTGGTCTATGATTAAATCAAATTGGCCCATTAAAAACCTAATTATATCATTGGATTTAATTTTTATATGGATTTATTTAATAATCATGTAACTTGACCTTGAATCTGCATTATCTCTCCATTTTGAAGTAAAATATGGTACAATTAGGCTCATGACTCTTTATAAAATTATAGCTTGATTTTTCTTTACATTTGAAATCCTTCCAACTTCTTTCTCCTAAAATATAAGTCTTCTTGTTATTATTATTTATTATTTATTATTTTATTTTGGAAAGAAAGAAGATGAATTTGAAAAATAACCCAGAAATGTGTTATGATATAAGGGATGTCTAAAACTAATATGTAAGTGTTTGTTAGATGACGTATATACTGAACTTACCTGCATGACAGTTCCATATAAAAAGATCACTTATGTTTTTAAAAAGGCTTATGTGATATTATGTAAGTGATTCTTAGAGTTGAGATCACTAAGTTATCTTATATAGAGAATGTTATGATTTGATCCTGCACACGTTGCTTAATTAAGGTAAACAATGAAAAGATATTGAGTATAACATAAACTATATAAAGATATTTGAGTAATGAAGAGAGGATTCATTACCCTAGGTAAATTAGAAAAAATATTCGATATGTTCTCAAATAATATTAATTATAAAATTGTTGCCTATTATGAAATGAGATTTGAAAAGATTTCAAATCTTATTCAAATAATTAATGGTTATAGTGTTGAGAAAAAAATGATTTAACAAAGCAGACATACTTTATATTATAATATCTAAATTGAAATATTATTGATGAATGAATAATAATTACACTGAGAAACTAGTCACTAAAAGGTTAAATTACATCACTTATGATTGTTTTGATATTTAGATGTTCATGACATGTTACTAGACATTGTACTTGATTTTAAATATAAATCAGTACATTTTTAAGTTAATTTTATTAATTTTATTTTATTTAGGATTATGATTTATATTTTAGCCAACTTATTAGGAAACTTAATAGGTCATACACATAAGAATTATTTGTCAAAAATTAAAATATTCTGATGTAATGGCCCTTCTCTTCATAGGGGATTACAATTCTAGAACTAAATAAAATGAAGTAGGGATCAACTTCATTGAATAGGTTTATAAATTTATCATGAAATAGTATACATGATATTATTTAAGTGGTGGATTGATATTTTTCTATTTATAGGGTTTTCTAGGTTTTTTTATAAATAGAATGTTATGCTATTTATTTTTTGTATAGTACTTGTCGCACATTAAAAAAATCCGCACAGCATTAGCTTTAGCGATTTTTCTCTCTGTTATGTTTGATTTGATCTTATTGGATTCATTGGGAGTTGCCACCTAATATTTAATTGAGAGTTACTAGGAAACCCGGTTGTACTGGTAAGGGACTGTTAGTGGCTAGGAAAGGTATTACCACCCTTAGCGCACCCTACCTGAGGTAAGCTGCTTCATGGATGTGATGTCTTAAAAAAGTTTTAAAATTTTTATCTTTTCATCGGATTTTAGAAATACAACTTTCGTACAAGTTTGTACTTCTACACCATGATCCAATCAAAATAGTAAATCCTTCTTTATTCTCTATAATTTTATTATAAATAAAAAGAAACATTCATAAGACAAATAAAAGCACACACACACATCGGATTTTTCTTTTCTTTTCTTTTTCTTCTTTTTGTTTTTTTTTCAAATTTATAAAATACAAATAAAAATTCAAACTAAACAAATATTAAATTAAATAGTTTAAAAATTACAAAATAACCACTCAGAACTCCATAATAGTGCTGGGAAGTCCTTCTGGGCGGTGTGAACAGTGCACTCGTCAATAGTGGCCGGGTCTGTTCGCTGACCCGTAAAGGGAGGCCGATGGGTCGACTGAGAGAGGAGAAAAACAACGCTGCTGCTGGATGGTCCTCACCCTTGTTGGTGGTAACGGCTTATGATGGCTGCCGACAATAAGAGAGAGCGAAGGGGAACGACTCTGGTTTCTACAGGAGCTGCAAAGAGCAGAGGGAGCAGTTGAGAGGGAGACTATGAGAGGAAAGGGCCGAAGTAAAAAGGGAAAACAATTGAAAATGAGGAAGGGAAAATGGGGAAACAATTGAGGTCGGTTTGAGGGGGGAAAATGAATGTGAACAATGACCCTTTTTTGTTGGCTGGATCCGATAGGGTGAAGGAAGAGAGATGGTCGAGGGGCTGCTGTTTGAGGGAGAAAAATTCAAGCAAAGAGGGGGGTGGCCGGTTCTCTTGAAAAGATAGGTTTGTATAGTTAAGGTTTTTAGGGTTTGTCTTTTTTTTTTTATCAAAATTGCCCCTCCTTTTTTGTGTTGAAGGATGCTATTTATAGGCAAAATGTTGCTTGGTTTTTAAAATTAGTCCCTTAACTTTTTGTAAATTTTAATTTTTCTTATTTTTTTATATTTTTAAAAACAAGCAATATCAACATCGGCTCAATGAGAAAAATCAATGATTTTAAAAATAATGCACTAAAATTTGAACGCATTTCAAATATCTTTGAAAATTTAAATTTTTTGAGATGATTCTTAAAATGCTAAAAATAAGGCAAATATATTTAAAAATGTATTTTTTTAGATTTTCATTATTTTTTCTCTTTTTTTGGTTTTTTCTAAAAATTTATGAAAACACGAGTCAAAAATTAAGGAATAACCCAGAATCGGGTTATGACAGCACTCACAACAGAGAAAAATCACATTAGTTATAGAAATATAAAGGAAAATAGATAACACTTAAAGATATAATATTAGTTACATTTGAAATCCTCCTAACTTGCTTTTGCCAAAATATAAGTCTTTTTGTTATTAGTATTTATTTTTTTATTTTGGAAAGAAAGAAGATGAATTTAGGGAATAACTCAGAAATGAGGTAAAATATAAGGGATGCCTAGAACTAATATGTAGATGCTTGTTAGATGACATTTATACTAAACTAACCTACATTATAATTTTCTATAAATAGATTACTTATGTTTTTGGAAAGGCTCATGTGATGTTATGAAAGTGATCCTTAAACTTGAGATCATTAAGTTATCTTATATAGAGAATATTATGCTTTGATCCTGCCTATACATTGTTTAATTAAAGGTAACAAATGAGAAGATAATGAATATAACATAAACTATATGAAGATATTTGAGTAATGAAGAGAGAATTCATTACCCTAGGTGAATTATAAAAAATATTCCATTTATTCTCAAATAATATTGATTATAAAATTCTTATCCAATGGGGAATGAGATTTGAAAAGATTTCAAATCTTATTCAAAGAATCAATAGCTATAGTGTCGTGAAAAAAATGATTTAACAGTGTAGGTATACTTTATGTTATAATGTTTAAATCAGAATATTATTGATAAAAGAATAATAATTACATTAAGAAACTAGTTACTAAAAAGTTGAGTCAAACCACTTATGATTGTTCTGATATTTAAAGGATCATGACTTGTTGTTAGACATTGTACTTGATTTTAAATATAAATCAATTAATTATTAAATTGATAATAAATTAAATTATTTAATTTACCTAATATTATTTAATTTATAATTATGATTTATATTTGAGTAAACTTATTAGGAAATTTAATAAGTTTCATACATAAGAATCATTTGTTAAAAATTAAAATAGGATGATTAATCAAGTATGTCTTGATTATAAATAAAATTTTAAAATTAAGAACTAAAATATAATTAATATAGAGGATTATAATTCTACAGTTAGAGAAAATCAAGTAAGGACTTGAATGAATAAGTTTATAAATTTATCATGAAATAGTATATATGATATTATTTAAGAGGTGAATTGATATTTTACTATTTATAGGATTTTCTAAGTTTTTTTAATAAATAAACTATTATGCCTTTCATGTTCTATATAGTGCTCATAATAGAGAAAAGCCATGATAGTTATAGAAATATATATATAAAAAAAAGATAACATTCAAAGGTATAATAATTTCTTTTTCCTAAAAGGATTTAAGAGATTTGTTATTAGTGATTCGAATGCATTATCATTATAGATTAAAAACTTAAATGACTTGTGTTTTATAATAATCTAATATTATTCAAAGCAAAAAAAAATCTAATTTTTAGTTAATCTTTGCATACATCCTAAAAAATTAAATAATTATTGATCTATTTAAAAGGAAATCTTCATCTATGACAATGAAAAACTTTTGTCTACCTTGTTTCTAAAAAATAGAAGAAAATCTATGCATTGTAGCATTTCCTATTGCTTTCAAGGTCCTGTCATCCATAGAAGGTAACGGAAGATTTGTCGGATTCATCAAAATAGCAAACTATTCATGAAAAACATCGCGCATCACTCTTTAAAGCATTCTAACGTATGTCATCTTTGATGATTTCGAGTATGCTGCTGCCGCTGCTTCTTCTTCCTAAGCTTTTTAGGGGGCAAAAAAGCTTCAGTTTTCGAAGAGGAACATTGAGATCTAATTAAGAGCTCCTTGCTTCGGCATGTCCATTGTCAGGTACGTAAATTTATTTTTCCTCCCCTATGTTTATTGTCTTCGGAGAAATGTAATATGCTGGGTATATAGGATCAGAAGTCTTAATTCATGTGAAATATTGCAGGTGGTAAATGGTGAGCAGGAAGCAATATGCGTGGATCAAAGTTCTGGATTCGATGGATGTGTGGATTATGTTTGCCGATTGTGGCCCTTTCAATTGTGGCCGCTATAGCTTACGCAACCCTCAAACTTATTGTCAAGACAACTCGTTCTTCGTCGGATCAATCCAAATTAATAGCTTGTTTCAACATCTTTTTCTTCATTATTGCAGCCCTTTGTCTTCTTTACTGTGCTGCTGGAATTTTTGCAGCAATCTTCGTCTCTATCAGAGATTGTGCAGACGATGTAATGGCCCTCCTCTTTACCAAAAATAAGATTGCTCCTTCACCGTCACCCCCTACAACAGTACTCCAAGATGACCCACCCCGACCTGATCACGATCATCTTCCCGTTTAGCCTGCCCACAAGTTAAGTCATAGTTATACTGTATCATCTATCATGACTTGCTTTTGTTTTTCTTCTCTTCTTCTTCTTCTTTATCATGTTTTCATGGAAGTAAGTTTCAACCGAGAAAACAAAAAAGTTTCTTTTTCCCTCTCAAATTAGTATGAAGAGGGAAATTTGAGTAATAAGGTTGGGATATTGTATATTTGTATCTCCATTCAATAAAAAGTATCATAAATTGGATTCATGTATGCTTAAATATCATCAACAGATTTAAGAAGAAATGGAATAAAGCATGATACAGAGATATCCTTCAGTGACGTAGAACTCAAACATGAAGATGGTGTTTGCTACCGTAATAACATTTGATTTTAAAAAATATTTTTATTTAAAAATACGTATTAAAAATTAATAAAAAGGGAAAAAGTTATTGATTGTTTACATTTCAATAACTAAAATGGTTGGTAAGACATGTTTTTGTAATTATCTTGCTATAAAAAGTAGATTGGCCTTGAATTTATTTTAGTTTTTTTTCTAATTAAAAATTGTTTTAGGGGTAGATATGTGTTTATTTAGGTTCATGAGAGCTTTTATTAGATGTTTTTAAATTAGTTACATTTATTAGATGTTTTTAAATTAAAATAGATTGAAAAATAAATTTGTAGGTCAAAATTAAACTCTGCTTTGATGATATTTCTAGTAATAAAAAACTATACCAACATATGTCATTTTATCAATTTTGTGATTTTAGATTTATTACCCTCATTTGATATAATAGATATTTTTAAAACTTTTATGATTACCTTTTTTTAGGTAAATAAAGATTTATTTTTTATAGAGAAAAAAGGAAGGTGGAATTATACTAGAAAATCATTTTGTTTCTATGAAATTTAAAATAGTAATCTTTGTAAAAAAAAAGTTAATTTTAATATGATTAAATAATAAGATTTTAAGGGCTCTCCAAACATTAGATCAAAATATTTTAATCTATATTTATTTTTAATTTTATATTTTATTTTTTAATTAACATTAACAAAGATAATAATAAACAAAGTGAATTTGTTTCAATTAATCCCACAAGTAAAGAATGTGAGCGAGACATGTTTTGGTGAATGCGCCAATGAAACATCAACACATATCAATTGTATGTTTTTATATATTATGGTATGAATATAAAACACTTCGCGAATTAATAAATAAATAAATAATACTTTTAAAATGATTTCACTGATGCATTGAAAACTCAAATAATATTTTTATTATTTCAATTTATATTTTTATCACTCTTAATTTTTTTAATATTTATTATCAAAATATTTTTATTTAAGGTATCTACTTGAATCTTTTTTGTTTTTTTTTTAAAAAGAAGAAAATCTCTATATGAGGCCTGTTGCTCTAACGGCTCCAATCCAATTACAAGAACACCGTAGACCTAATCCAATGAGAGCTGTCCACGTAAGAGACGGATAAATTGTGGACCCCAACGCCAAACTCTATATATATGTTGCAGAACCCTCCTCGCATGCCCGTTAGTCTCTTCTCCGTATTGAGGTCTGTTCAAAGAACACAAAATCACAAAACTAATAAATTACAAGAAATTAAAGTGGCCTGCCTGCCTGCTCCATGCTTTAATTCTTCTTCATCTTGCTCTGTAAATTTCTTTCGACAATAGAAAAGAGAACCCTTTAATTTTCTGTTTCAAGAAATTTACTTGGCAAAATTCTTTCCATCATCAAAATTACCTAGTCCTCAGGATTTTTGTAACAGGTATTTTTCTTTGTTCTTTGTGAAACCCTTCTGTTTTCTTGTATTTTTAACGGGTCTTTCGGATTTTCAAGAATTTTTAATTTAAAGAAATTGGGTTTCTTTTTTCAAGAATCAGAAGAGATGTTGTGGTGCAATATCTTAGGACAATATTACTTCTGCAGAATTTCTAGGTAGTCTTTAGTGTTTTAAGACTCCAAATTTGTGCAGAATTCCAAGAAAAATCTGTATAGATGATACGGATATTGATAACCTATAAGTTCATTATGTGATTGGTTGTAGCCAATCAGACAACATTGTTACCTACCTGTTTGTTTTTAGCCTTTGTAACATCATATAATCAGATTTGAATCTTGTTAGGGAATGATATTTCATTGCTGTTATTTGCAATTCATAATTTTTCATGCATGCCATGTTAGGTTTTAGTTTTGGAAAGCAGAGTGTTTGAGTGATTAATGTTGAATTTATGAATGTCAACACAGGATTCTTTTTCTGCAATGAACATTACTCGTGATGTCAGGACCTGCACAGCCAACTTGAATTGTGACCGTGAGCCAACTGGGTTATTGTTAGGAGTAAATGGTGGTACAAAAGCTAGATATGTGAATAGGGATTCACGAAAATGTTCTGAAATCCGTGGAACTGCATCGAAACTTTCTTGTCGAAGAGACTCTACTTTTCCAGTTGAAAATCAGGGAAAATTGTATAGGATAAGTTCAGAAAATGCAACTGAAGCAAGAACCCCAGATGAACATGGACTACAGAATGAAAATATCAAGGCAGTTGGGACCTCCCAAACTGTATCAACCTCCGATTATGTTGCTGCTGAGGCTAAAAGAAGCAACGGCCTAAAAGTTCGATCAGGTATTGTACAGTTCGACCCTGAAGTGTATGGTAATCTTTGCATAGCTAGTCATCAGTACTGGTTACCTCTTATTCGTGAAGATTCTAACTTTAACTGATTAGAAAATGATAATTCTAATCTTTGCATAGCTAGTCATCAGTACTGGTTACCTCTTATTCGTGAAGATTCTAACTTTAACTAATTAGAAAATGATAATTCTTTTGGCTGAATCTTTCTTGTGGTACCATGTCCTTAACATTTCTTGTAAATATACGAGGTTGAAGCTTTCTAGTAGTGTAAAAATCTATTTATGGAATTTTCATTTCTAAATAAGCATTCTTGATTGCGGATTTTGCAGGTAAATCAGGTCTTGCTCAACCTCGTCAGCTAACTCAGAACAGCAGACACTCTGCAAAAGCTGCTAATGATAATGGGAATCCAATGCGACCTGTCAAGAAAAGTGGAGATAAATTACCTCCAACTTCAGGACAGGATTTGGGGGTGAAGGCTAAGATAGTACCTCTAAAGTATTCTTCTAAACCATCTTCAAGTGCTTGGAAAGTAAAGGAAAAGAAAGAAACTTCAAAAGAACCATCTAATTTGTCTCCAAACATGAGTTCATCCGATCAAGTTGATAGGGGTCAGCCCACTCAGAAGGGAAAATGTTCTGCAGGAGCTGTTAAGAAGAGTAGAAACCAAATACAAGCTGTTAAAAAGAGTGGGAAAAAAATAACCCCGACTCCCGAGCAGGAAAAGGAAAAGAAAGAACCTTCAGAAGGTCCATCTCATTTTCCCACTAAATTAAGTTTGTCTGATCGGGCTCACAGGGATCAGCCTGTTCAGAAGAGAAAATGTTCTGCACAAGCTGTTAAGAAGAGCGGAAACCAATTACCTGCAATTCCCAAGCAAGTATGGCAGGTAAAGGGAAAGATAGCATCTTCACAGGATTCAGGTAAAACATCTTCAAAAGTTTTCCAGGTGAAGAAAAAGACATCTTCTACATTGTCTTCAAAAACGAGTTCATCCCACGCCAAAACAAGAAGCTTCTCTCCTGAACATTCTACAAAGTGGGATGGTATGTCCGAAAGATCTAATTTCTTCGCATCTTGTTTTGGAAATATTCTCCGCTAAAATCTGCTATATCCACACTTGTGACCTTGTCCTGAATCGAAGATTCTTCTTCTTCTTTGAGCTTTCAATGCAGAGCATTTTCCAAATAGAAGATTTTGCTTATTTTTGTTTTATAACTTGAGTTTTTCTTCCAATATATCTGGTCATCCAATTACTTGGAACAAGCATCTAATTAAAGGATATCGTCTTCATATTGCAGGTTTTGTTAAACTTGGACATAATTGTTTTTTATGCGAGAATGATCTAGCTCATTCGCCATTACCAACTGATGAGGAGTTGGAGTCTGATAAATTACCAGATGTTGCTGTTCTTCCATGTGGTCATGCATTCCATGCCATGTGCTTGCAGCAAGCAATACCTGAAGATCAATTGAGAGATCCTTCATGCTTTGTATGTGACAGCTTACAATGAGCCTCCTCCACATCTGTTCTTTAAAAAACCTTTCTAGTGTATATATCATTAAACCACCATTGTAAGGAAATGAAGGCAAAATGTGGAATACAATTAGAAAGTGGTCGGAGCAGGGAAGTACATGCAGCTGTCCATCCGTTGGTGAGACTTTATGCAACGGAAAATGTATGCTGGCGCACAATAACGGGCTCCCTAGAGGTGCACATAGCAGTGATTGGTGTATTTGTTTGAAGAACGCTTCAAAGAAAATCAGGTACAATTCTCTTGGATTCATTGTGTTCCGCAACATGCTTTGTTACATACCGAACACACAATGGAATTAGAAAGCTCGGCTCTGAACAAATATGATTTTTCTTGTCTCTTAACATCCCCTGTTCCCTGTACAACATTCGTTTTCTTCAGTAGAATTCTTCTCTATTCAAAATAAAATAGTTAAATGATGCTTTGTGGAGCATCGGAGTGTGGGAGAGCACAATTTGCTGGCTGAGAGAATGCAATTTGTTGTTTGGCTTGAACCTTGGTTAATTTGTCGGGAAATATAACAACAAAAACACCAGACCCAACAGCGTTATACCCGATCGATGTAATTACCATTTACGGAATTATCAAGTTTTATTTACCAAACCCACTAGCCTAGGGTTTCAGTTTCACAGCCATACAGCAAAACCCAAAACCGTAAGCTACCCTTACCATATCGAATTTTGTACCCAGCTTACCCTTACTCTCTAGTCTTAACGCTAAAATTTGCAATTACGGCAGAAAGAGGGGGGAAATGACGGACCTCATTGCATAGAAATAAAAATCATAATGTAATTTATGGGAAATGAATGATGAACAGTGAGGCTACAACAGCTTAAAAGATTTGTACATGGGACATTCATCGGGATCCTTCATCAAACCAATTTTCGGAATCCCAGTGCTTTCCCAAGGTTCAAACTAATGGAAGCATCCGCTTGGACCCTTAAGATAATATTAAACAACCAACAAATCTACGTTCACAAGAGAGACAGAGATTGACTATCTAGCACCGATTATCAAACCAAACATAATTATCTACAAATCTTGACTGTCAACATCTTCTTCAGAAATGTTGAATAAGAACTTTGAAAGAGATGCAATTCGAGGGAGATGGAGTAGCAGGTCCCCAAATGAGTCTTTCCTCGACATTCCTGGTGCCTGCTTGCTGCCACAAACATCCTTGATACTGCTACCTTCAGACCCTCTGATATCACCTCTAAATTTATTCTCATGCAGCGACTCATTGGTGCAGTTTAGCTGAAGCCCCTTCCCATTGTTAGACTCCTCAAAGAAACTTTCCCCATTAACCTGCAAGTTCTGTGTGGAAGCAGGGTCCTTCTGCAAAAGGCAACAGAGAGAATTGACCCTTGCCATGATCCTTTTCTCATCAGAGGAGGTTGTTTGTTGGGTGTCGCTAAGAAGGCACTGAGCTATGTCCTCTAATATGTCCCGACATTCTGATTTATTAGCAGAAAAGAGTTGATTTCCTGAGGTCATCTGTTCTGAAATACAGTTCTCAATGTGGTTCATAAGATCAGTCATTGACATAGAATGGCGCAAGCCTGGCACTTTAATCTGATCCCAGTTGCTTGGTGCTTTGGAATCAACAGCTTCACAAATTCCACTCCCTTCAATTGCACGAGTGTCCATCACTAGTACAAGAAGATCAATCAGTGATAATTTAGATTAGGACGTAGATATGCACCCAACTCATAAGCTATAGAAACAGATCCCAAACCATTCACACTTTCAGCAACACTCAAACCACAGGGAAAAAAAATGCTAGAATCCTAGCTGCAATAGGAAGAAAAACATTGATAGTAACAACAATAGACATAGGGATTGGAAGTGATGTGCTGGACTCGATAATAACTGGAGACAAAACATCAAGCACTGAGGTTTTTGACTCTCAAGAGATCATGCAAAAACTCCAACCTCTGAATCCTGTGACATCAAACACTGAGGTTTTTGACTCCTAAGAGCAGATCATGAAAAAACTCCAAATCTCTGAATCTTATGTGCAAGTTCATTGCAGAATGCTACTTTGGCAACACTAGCACTGGGTTATGGGCCATTGCAGCACTACAACTAGGATATGGCCAGACACTTTATAAATCACTTGTATGAAAATTACCATAAATGACATCATTTTTAAAACATGTTGGAAGCAAATTCAAGACATCATGTTACCTGAGCTGGGAGAAGGAGCTTCTCGGGACATATGGTCTGATGTCGAAGCAGAAGGATCCCCTTTATCAATCTCTAAGGAAGATGATTGAGCTGCAGATGGTGATGCTAGATGATAGAAGCCAGAAACAACACATACCTTAGCTGACTCCACTTGATTAAAATCTTGACCTTTAGAATCATCCAGATCCTCAAAAACAGGCGGTCTATGTTCAAAATATGGTGAATTCAGATTTATCTCTGGCTGTTGACTTAAGAAGTTCAAACGCATGTCGCACTGGATGAGCTTTTCAAAATGTTTATTTAACAGCCCTTGTGGACATTGTAGAAAATGTTGCCTGCAAAACCATATTAACAAAAATTTGAGTATCATTCCCTCGTGACTAAAGAAATGGTGGCATCTTAGCAAGAAAAATCTCAAAATAAGTGTCCTTCATGATTATATTATTTACAATAGATGCATTGAGAAAATTTTAGCACAATATATGACTTGTTAACTACAGTTATGCGGCTTGAGTAGGCATGAAATATGATGTGAACACACAGATAACAATTTTCTGCCCAATCAATGTACACAGTGTGACTTTCTAAAAGTGCAATCCAGAAGATTGCCACTTTCAAAATACATAAAAAAAAAAAAACTCATAAAATTGGAAAAAAGAAAAATCACAACAAATTCATGCAGAAAACACCTACCAGTTGAAGAGTGGCAATCAAAATATTAAATACAAGCAGATGAGTGCAAAATAAAGCAATATGGTACAAATATCTTACTTGTGTATGCTAGCCTGTCCATCAGTAAAATCTGCCGTTGCCTGCCACAAGGTATGTTTTCGGGGCTGTGGATTAGTCTCCCTGAAGAAAAGGGGCTGCCTGGCTAGCTGCATCATACAGCAAAAAAAAAAGGGACCAAATTAGCACATCCATAGTCATACAAACACCCACTGTTAGCTTCAAAAAAAGACATTAAAAGTCAATACATTACCACAACATTCAATGTCCCCGGTCCATTATCGGGACAGTTTGCCTTCAGAGCCATGATATCAGACCACTGGATTTCAATCTTGCTCTTAAGACCACCTTCAAGAACTTCCCAGACCAGCTTATGCTTCGCAAAGTAACACTTCGCCACCAAATCACCTTCATATCTCGACTTATACTGCCAAAAAAAACCAAAACACAAACCCTCAGCAACCCACGTATTAAAATCACCACCACAACAATAATACATACCGAAAACACGAAATCATTCGTTACCTCCCAGCTCCCAATCCTTAGAATGGAGGCAGGAAAATTTGAAGCCTTAAGCTTGTCAATGGAGCTGGAAGCAGCGGCAGTCTTACTCTCCTTCTTAAAACCCAAGTTCGAATTTTCGGTCTCTTGTGTTCCGAGTACAGAAGCATTCCCTTGAGTGAGCCTCATTTGAATCAAATCCAACAATGATGGGCTCTTCCTCAACTGCAGTCCAAGCGGACTAGGCTCATCTAACGGATTATATTGCCCGGCGGGAATAGGAATTGCATTAGCACCCGCACCCCACTAATCAAATTACCAACAAACCCAATTACAAAAAAAGCACAATCCCTTTACAAATAAAAACATGCAAAATCAACACTAACACCATAATTAAAACCCAAATCAAACAAAGAAATCCCATAATCCCAAAATCTTAAAAACCTATGTACTAAAAATCCCATAATCCTTAAGTCCCCATCTTTCTACCTTTACCGATAAAATAAAATTAAGTGAAGAATCTATTTTCCCATGTTTTCTTGATTTTCTCAGGAACCAAAAAGAAAAAACAATAATATGTTTATTTTTTTTTTTTAAGATTACCTGTTGAATAGTTTGTGAAGCCTTGGATCGCTTATGAAGAGGTCCATATTCTTCCTCTAATGGATCCTCAACGATCTCTAGCTTCACTGCTCCCCTTTTATCCAGCGAAGACGACGAACTCGACGTCGTTCCACGTTGTCCCTTCAGTTTCCCTGAACCCATCAACAACAAATCTTCCCTGAAAATCTAAAAATTAAAGATAAAAATGATTTATTTTCTTCTTCCTTTCTTCCTTTTCCTTTTTTTAAGATTAGGCGCAGGAAATATCGAAGAAATGATCATGAGCGAAGAGAAGAGAACAGAGTTTTTAACGGTGTTTTTGACGGCAGCATGTGAGAGAACCCGCGTGGCAGGTACTTGGATGGTGAAATTACGAGAACGGGCTTCCGTTAGAGGGGTGTGAACGTGTGATCAGAGATGGTCATGCTAAGCGCGAGGGCTGTTTGGGATTTTAGAGTGGATTTAATATGCACGTGATAGCCGACACGTAAGAGTTAGTGGATAAAGTGTGGGGTCCGTTGATTCCTTAAAATGATGACGGTTTTGGGTTGAGAAAACACGTGTCAGTTGATCTGGGAGTTGTTTGAGAAGAATGCGTTTATGGAGCTTACACGTGGGAAAGGTGACAGAGGGGAATTAGTGTGTTGATGAACATGTGTTTATTGTAACTCCCACGTGTCGGAAATCTATATGAACGGGGGAAGAATTGACAACAAAGATTGGATATTATTTTTTGAATTATTTTTTCCCTGCTACCTTTGCTTCTATATATTGTTTCTCTCTTTGTGTCAACCAAATATTTAATTTATGGAAACATCTAATGAATGCTTTTAAAACATTTATCGTTAAATATATTTATCAAGATATAATTTAATTAGTTAAATTTTAAATTTTTTTAAAAAAATTATTAAATTTAAATTCTATAAATTTTATAGATACTAAAAACTTATATAATCATTAATTTTAATGCCTATAGATTTAATTGGGGTGCATATAAGTTGATTCGGACACCCATATTAATAAAAAAAATATTTATTAGACTTTATTTATTATTTAATTATATTAAAAAATAAAAATAAAAATTAATTGTATTAAGTACAGAATTTATTTAAGAGGTGTTTATTTGTCTGGAAAGTGATTTATTAGAAATAACTTTTCATATTTTTTTGCATTAGAAAAATTGATTAACAAAAAATATTTTTTAATCAAAGAAAAATTTGATTTATTTTTCAAGAAAGTATTTTCCTTTTATTTTAGATAAAAAATACTTTTTAAAAATTATAAAAAATTTAGAAATATCATATTATTTGCTGTTTATATCAAATTTGATTCTCAAACTTTTGATTGATATATATTTTGTTTGAATTCTTTTTTTTTTAATTTTATCCCTTAAAATTTTATTTAATTTGATTTTTATATTAACTTTAGTCCTTATTTTTATAATTGTTATTTTTTTATCATTTCTTAATTGAAATTTTTTATTTATCAAATTTGATCCTTGTCCTTTTGATTGATACTTATTTTATTTGAAATAATTTATGAAATTGTAATTATTATTATTATTTTAATATCATCATCTTTTAATTTTTTAATTTTTTAGATTTTATTTCTATTATTTTAATTATTATTTATTTTATTGAGAGATAATTTATGAAATTATATTTTTTTCAATTTTATTTTCATTCAACTTTTTAATTTGTAAGATTTGTTCCTCATTATTTTAATAAACTTGAAAAAAAAATATTAATAATCTATTTTTCAGCTCATTTTTCATAACATAATTAAATACTAAAAATTATTTTTCAACTTATTTACCATGACACTACGAAACATTTAAAAATAATTTATTTTATAGGAATTTATTTTTAAAAAAATAAATTTTTTTAAAAAAATATTTTTCAATAAACAAATAAGACCTAAAATAAATATTATTTTATGAGACAATATTCATAATTAATTCTAAAAAAGAAACATAGTAATTGGTTATAAGCATTGTATAATTCTAATGAGTGTTCTCAATGGATACATATAGAAACTTTGATATTTAATAACATGCATGCATACATATTTATAACATGCATGCATATAGATTTATGTTGTTAACTCAAATTATATAATAATATTTTTGTCTTTTTTCAAAACAACAAATGTCTTGGTTTTGGTGTATTAAAATTTTTTATATGTGATATTAGTTATTAAAAAAATAATATATATTTTTATTATTTTAAGCAATAAAATGGTTTCATTATCTTTCAAATCAAAATTTATAAAACTAACAAACAAGGAAAATGAAGTCTTTTTATTTTTTTAAATATATCAAAATAACAAGTTTAATCTTAGAATAAAAAAAAAATTAAATACGCATTCATGAGCTTTTTTTTTATCTTTTTAACTTTAATTTTTATTATTTTTATTTTTTATTATTACAAGGGTTATCATAGGAATATGATCTTTTAACGAGGTTTATTTATTAATTTCATTAAAAAAGTTTATAGTATGTGCAACACACATGGTAAAAAATATATTTGTGCTATTTTGTTAAATACTATATTTTATCCTTTTTTATATGGTGCGGCACATGTTGGTGAAAATTAAATTGTTTGTTTTTTGTGGATTTTTTTCTCTCCTCCCTGGAAAATTAGATGTTGATCCTTTTTGTTTTGATATTTCAATTTTAATTCTTATTCTTTTGATTTTTAATTTTTTAATCTTTATATAAAGGTTATATTTGTTTTAATTTCATCCATCAATTCTAGTTTGAAAAATATTATTTTTTTCAATTTAGTTCTTATTATTTTGATTATTATTGTTTTTCCTTGGGCTTTTTGTAAAAATTTTATTGGTTTTTAATTTCATCATTCAATCCAAGTTTATGGTATTATTTTTAATTTGTTTCTCATTATTTTGATTTTTAATTTTTTTTCTTGGTCCTTTTATAAAAGTTTTATTTGTATTTATTTTTTCCTTGGGCCTTTTGTAAATGTTTTGTTGGTTTTCAATTTCATCATTCAATCCAAGTTTATGATATTATTTGTTTCAATTTGATCCTCATTATTTTAATTTTTAATTTTTTTCTTGGTTCTTTTATAAAAAAAAATTTTGTTTTTCATTTTATCCTTTAATCCAAATTTATGTTATATTACTTTTACCGATTTGGACATCAATTTTTTCTTTTTTTCTTTTTTTAGGTTATTTTTTTTTCAATTTCACAATTCAATAAAAAAAATATTTTTATTTTTATGTTAATCTTTATCCTCATTCTTTTGATTTTTTGGGTCCTTTTGCTAAATTAATTCTTTTTTTAATTTTATCTTTTAATTAAATATAAAATTTATTTTATATTTTAATTTTAATTCTCAATCTTTTAATTGCTATTTTTTTTAATCCTTTTGTATAATTGATTTTGTTTTTCAATTTTATCCTTAAATATTTGATTGATTGAGATTGAATATCATGGTTTTTTCAGATAGAATATTTTAGATTTAATAACCCTGATCATAAGTTTAAAAAATTAACATAAGTTAATATTGTTTTTAAAATAGGCTCTATAATTTTATGTATTTTATTTTTATCAAGTTATTCTAATCGCATGATTGGACCATAGATTTGGTGGGATATTCTAGGTCTCAACTCTAATTACTTTAGTTATAGGTTTGTTATATTAATTTGGATTGATTTTTAAAGTTTTTTTACCCCACTTTATTTTTTTAATTTTTAATATATTGTGAATTGAACTACATTATTTGTCCCCATTTTGAAAATAATATTTTTTTTTTGGATTATTGGGATTACTTTTTTCTTTTAAAAAGGATTTATTTTCTATAATTATTTATTTTCTATCATTTAATTAAAATAAAACAAACTTATTCAAGCTAATTAAGTCTATAACTTAAATTATAATTTTTTAAAACAAGCATGTTTATAGTATCTGAATATTAGTTTTTTTTAAAAAAAATATACCAACCCTGCAGTTAACCTCGCGCACCATGGCTAGGACATTTCTACAAAAGGTACAAATCAAGAAAATAATATAATTTTTAAATAATAACATCGCCTCTCAAAAAATAAGTATGCTTGGCTATGGAGTTGGAGAAGGGAATAGGCTCACGTTGAAGAAAACGTCCATGGAGGAGTCTTGCTGTAATTATTGCTTTTCTGATGCCTTTGGAGTATTATTATTATTATTTATTTGTTATAAAATTCTTCATGGATAACGTTCAAATGTCCTCTTGGACTCTTGGAGGATGGAAAAGTGGACATTCGATAATTGCTTGCGTTAATGGGAAGGGGATGAATCTGTCTTACAATGTTCTATTTGTTATGCAGCTGAAGCTGTGTTTTCCACCGTGTTTTTTAAAT